AACAACTGAGGTTTAACTTGCCATAAGCCCCAGCAGTCAAGCCTGGCATATTTACCCCAAACAAAGTCTAAGCCTGTATACAAACGCATGTGAAATTTTAGCACGACCTTATTCATAATCTCTGCAAACTGGAAATACCTTAATGTCTTTCAGTGGGGAAAGATAAGCTGCTTTGCATATGTCCAAACAATGAAATGCTACTCAACAGTGAAAGCAAAAACAATGAACTCTTGATGCCCCCACAGCCCGTCATGCTCAAGGAAAGAAGTCAGTCTCCAAAAGTGGTATGCTGTCTATCATGATTTGATTGGTTATGGTGCGACATTCATATGTGAAATCCTAACTCCTGAGGAAGGTGACAGTATGAAGAGCTGTCACCAGTTCCATGGTGAAAGATCAGTGGGGGACCCTCTCGCTCTGCCACGTGAGGTCAGGGTGAAGATATGGCTACAGGGCATCTGCCATCCCCGATCTGCAACACTTTGGGCTCGGACTTCCCAGCCTGCAAATCTGTAGGAAATGAATCTCTGTTTTTATAAGCCATATGGTCTGTGGTATTTTGTTAGTGAGGCATCAATGGCTAAGGCTCATTGTGATTCTGTTTGGAAGACATTCTGAACAAAGCAAATGGCTAGGGATAGAAAACAGATCTGTGATCAGGTCAGAGGGAGAGAAGACTTTGAAAAAGACAAGGGGGAAAACTTTAGTGTGTTGAAGGTTCTCTGCAGTGATTACAAGAGTCTGTGTATGCTTTCAAACTCATTGAACTGTATGCAAAAATTAAATGTAGTGTATGTTAATTTTAAAGAAATGGACACATTTTTAAAAGTCTATGATTATAAAACTGATAGTTAAGACAGTCTGCTATAAATTTATTTAAAATTTATATATTTTAAACATATATTTAAAATGAATAAATCTAGATAGATTTATATAAGTGTATAAAGGCTATAGCTACCTTGTAATAAATGTTTTCTTAAATATACTTGATCACTTTCTTTAGAAATACTGGTGTTAAATGCTCTCCAAACTAAGCTTAGATGTCAGGGTCTGCCTACCTAATTGCTTGCAATTACACCATTTTATATACTTATGAGATCCTCATTATTATACCTTACCTGATTTGTGTGCAAGGAAAGGGATCTTTTGTTGGCACAGGATCTCACTTGAAGCAAATCCAAACAAGTCAGGCACGTAGTAAGTGCATCCACAGGAGAGGTGAGCTAATCCCGAAATGTACGGAACTCACTGACTGGGGGGAAGCAGTGCGGGCCAGAGACGAGGGACTTCTTTCTGTCCTCACTTCCATTGCTGTCTTCTGTTCCTCGTTAGATTACTCTGATTTGGGGATTCTTTAGTCAAAACGACATGGCAGTGAAGAAACGTGAATTTGTGAGTCTATCTTCTTTTTCCCTCCTAGAATTCAACCAGGAAATACATATGCTCTGCTACCTTGTGCCAACTTTAATATGAATGGTCGGTCAGGGGTCTCCCTTCCTCCACTTTGCCTTTGTGTATAAATAGATACATCCCAAACACCAGAAACACCACAGGGGAAGTCCAGGCTCCCCCCCCCCCACCCCAAATTGTCCCTGTTGCTATGCTCACTGTTAGGGTAATGTGTGCCAGTTTAACACTACAAATGTAAAGTATGTTACTGGTCCAACAGCCTTTTTCATTAATCCTGGCCATTTACACTTGTGAAGCTCAGGAAATATTTTACCTTCAGTTTGAGGAGACAGTAACAGGATGAGAGAGAGATTTGTGAGAAAGAATCACAGTGCCTCATTTTACCCATGTACCTCAAATTGGCTTGGCCTCCGTTTGAGAATACGTAGTCAGTCCTGGCTGAGAAATCGGTCTGCCTTCTTGCTCATTCATCTGCTAACTGCCATATAAGAAATGAGTTATGGGCTTCAGATCAACATCCTTTAAAAAATATTAGTGCTCATGACCTTTTACCTTGGAGAATTTTAAAATTAGTTTGCACAAAATTAAAATTCTTCTAAGATACAATGTCTATTCATTGTGTAAGAGAAGAGAAACATGTGTAATTTCTTTTTCTGTTCTAGCCAAATGGAGAAACAGTACTCACAGCTCTTGTCCAAGCAAAGCCTTGTTTCTTACAGTGCACAGATACCAAGGCAAGAGAATGAACACATGTTTTATAGCAAATGTAAGAGTGACTTCCAGCTATGCTTGTATAAAGCTTCATTCTGGTGCTCTCCCATTGCAGTCCATTGCTAGACTGAAAGTAGCTCCACTTTCGCCTTTGCCTTTGAGGTAAACCAGAGAACCATTCAAATACCAGTCAGTCTGCAGAGGCGAGGCCAGAGCGAGAGCCCATGACCCTATTTACATCTGTGAAAATCCAGTAAGAACACAATACAGGGGGCTGGAGAGATGGCTCAGAGGTTAAGAGCTCTGACTGTTCTTTCAAAGGTCCTGAGTTCAATTCCCAGTAACCACATGGTGGCTCACAACCATCTATAATGAGATCTGGTGCCCTCTTCTGGTGTGCAGGTGTCAATGCAGGCAGAGCACTGTACACACAATAAATAAACAAATCTTTAAAAAAAGAACAATACACACTGGCTGAGTTTTATGAAAAAAAGTTAGCTGTTTGTTAACTTTTGAGTGATCTTCGCCATGCATCTCCTTCCTGTGCATTTGGTTAGCCCGGAGGACTGTGATGGGAAAATATTGCCAGATTCCAGCCATTCTGGAAGAATAATAGGCTAGAAACAAGAATGCAGTAGTGAAATTTTAACAGGGCTCAGGAAGATCAGTGTTTGGGTTTTTCTTTCAGAACGCTGTAATCACAGAGGTTAGAAACCATTAGTAGACATGATGGTAAGTTGCCAAATTGTGTGTGTGCGTGTGTGTGTGTGTGTGTGTGTGTGTGTGTGTGTGTGGTGGGGGGTGACACAAGAAACACTTCACAAGTTTTTCTGCTTGTCATATCTAGGTCAATTTCTGATAAAATTTTTTGGCAGATATGAACCATCACTATTTCCTGCACAGAGATAAACAGGAACTACAAACTTGAAAGTTAGACTGAGAAGTCCACTCCTGTTCAAATTGTGTTGCTTGAAACCAGACTGCCTCTCCCCCCGCCGCCCCCACCCGGACAGCACAGTCTCTGGCTCATTACAGTGCCCTCCACCCCGACATAACACCACCCCATAACCAGAGTACTAGACATACAGCCCACCTCCCTCCTCTGTAGCTGGGGTGTGTCTCCACCGGGAGGAAAGACCCTCCCCGAGGACCGGAGAAACAGACAGAGTGTACAGCCAGACAAGCCCAGGTCAGCCTGGCAAGAGTGGCAGAAATGATAAAGTGGGCGTGACACTGCTCCCTTCACTGGGTGACTTAGTCAGAGGGAGGCAGCAGCAGGCACGCTGTTAAGTGTTTCTGAGGACCGAGGCGTGCTGTTTTCCAGTTCACTGAGCCTGCACTGACGGTCCCTCACCCACGGCACCTCCCTTGAGTTGTCTGCTTTGGGAAGGAGAAAGAACTCTTGGGCACTCCTCTGAGAAAGTGGCTTTCTCAAGCGTCCTAAGGCTGCAACCCTTTGATACAGCTCCTCACGTTGTGGTGACCCCCAACCATAGAATTATTTTTGTTGCTTCTTCATAACTGTATTTTGCCACTATTCTAAGTAGTAATGTAAATATCATCTGATATGAGACCCCCGAAAGAGGGTTCTGCATCTCAGAGGGTCAGGACCCACACGTTAAGAAACGCTGTCCTTAAGGCATCCCCCCCCCCACAAAAAAAAAAAGTCGCTACCTCTAGTAATTTAAAGTTGGCAGAAGCTGGTTCATGCCTCTTTAGCTAGCCTCTTGGGGACATGGCGAGGGTCACTGACAGGTGGACAGCTTTCTCTTTGATTTAAAATAAATAAATAAAGCCAAATCCAATTCTTTCCTTTTAGAAATGCTTTATGTTTCCTCTCCAGTGCCTGGTTCCCTGGCCAGGACGTATTCAAACCTGTTTCTCGCATTAAAGACCCCAAAGATACAGAGTGTGTGTTTCCTGCTGCCGGTTGTCATCTGCTCTTAAATTAAAAGTACAATGGGGGCGGGACAGGCTAAGGGAGAGAGAGAAGGTTAGAAAGCGGGAGGAGAAAAATCAGACAGACAGACAGATGGACAAACTTTGGATCTAGAAATGTTAACTCTGAACTCGGTGCATACTTTAGCTTTCTCTTCGATTTCCTAGTTCAGGCCCAACACACACACACACACACACACACACACACACACACACACACACACACCTAGGTCCAGGCCCCAGCAGACGCACCGGAACACACGTGCGCCTGCGCGCGGGCGGACACACACACACACACACACACACACACACACACAACGGTAAACCCGCCAACCTCAGATAAATCTGACTCTTCGCCAACTTGTAGCCTCCACCATCAGCGATAGGACCGAGGTCCTCCGCTACCTGCCCGCAGAAGACACCGCCGGCGCCCGCGGCTCCGCAGTAGCCTCTCCTGCTGCAGTCCCGACAGAGTTTCCGATGGAAATCCTTGGGGCTAGCGCTCCTCTGCCCCTCGGCCGCTCGCCTGCCTTCCACCTCCTTCTCGCGAGGCCAGAGGAAGCAGGACACTTTTTCACTTCTAGGGATGGGGAACGGGAGGGAGGAGAAACTCCCGCAACGGGAGCCCCGAGCCCGCCCCACTGCCCGCCCCACTGCCCGCCAGCACACCCGCGCAGGCAGGTCTCGTGCTGGCGAGTGGGCCGTTTGCCAAGGTGTCGCTGCTCACTCCGGGTGCGGGGATGCAGGCAGGACGGCGAGGCGGAAAGGTCGGGGCTTGCAGAGGAGGCGGGTGTGGCAGAGGGGCGACCCGGAGCTCTCCAGCCGCATCTCCGAGGCGCGCAGAGGGACCCCGCCAACTTAAAGGCCTGCCCTCGCGGCGCGCTCGCCTCCCGCCCTGCTCCCCGCCTGGACGTCTGCGGGAAAAGAAGGTGCAAGAGTACCTGGAGCGAACACCATGACTTCCTTCAGCCTCTGCGCCCCTGGGTTCGGAGAGGTGGGCAGCCGGAGGGCGAGGGCCGGCCGGGGACCGGGCAGCCGCGGGGCTGGGGGCGGGCGGGCGCGCGAGGCGCGGGCGGGACGGTCAGCACCTCGGACAGCTCCCCGCGCGCGGTCCCGGGCCGCCGCTCAGCGCTGGGCGCGCGCTGCCTCCACAATGCACCGCTGCGCCGCCGGCGGGAGGAGGAGACCCAGCCCTCTCGGCTCACCCTCGGTCCCCGCGCCAGCTCGGCGTTCCGCCGCCCGAGGAGCAGGGCGCTTCTACCGCTTCCACCCGAGCAGGAAGCACGGAAGGGGAAGCCAGACAGAAAGGTAATTGCCCGGTTTCCCGGCAGGGGCATAACTAATTGCTTCTAATTACCCGCTGTCACTCACCCCCAGGGATGCCGGGGCTGACATTTGAGTTGGTCGCTTTCCCCACGTCGCACTGGAGTTTACTCCAGACGCAAAGTCTGAGTTCCCCGGAGTCGGGCTGGCTCTGAACAGAGCAGGGGAGGGGAGAACCGCCGAGTTAACCCATCTTTGCTCTTCACGACTTCTCTGGCTGTCCCAGGCCTCTCTCCTAATGTCAGCAAAGAGAGCTCAAGGAGAAAAACAGGATGACTGCGGAGTGCTAGACGAGGGCGCTGCTCACGGGTCCTGTTCCCCTTGACGGCCCCGTCAGCTCCCACATTTGCAGGTTGTCAAGGTCATAGCGTCAGAGGAAACGGCGTCAGCCAAGGCAAAAGAGAGTCTAGATGAGACAGGTCTCGGACAAACTAATACAGCTTCTGCAAGGATGAGCCAGCCCCTGTCAGATACTGACTACAAACCTAAGTGCTTGCCCAGACACAGTTCAGTTATACCAGCTGCGCCTCTTCCTCACACCTGGCTCTACAGCAAAGATAGTAAGGCCTGCTGGATGTTCGCCGCTGGCTCCTAACCCGTAGATCACTTGACGGTATCTATTCTCCAATTACTGTTTGTGCAACGTAGGCGGCCACCATACCCACCTTCCGTGTGAGCCACGTGCGCGGGGGGTGGGGGGGGGGGGGGGGGGGGGTGGTTCGCTGACAGAGTTGAAACCTCATAGGACTCCACTTGCCTTGGCTTTTATCCTGTCTCTGTACTTCCATAGGATGATCCAAAAACAAAGGCGATCAGAGTTCTTGGGGCATTCTTCGCCTATCTCTGGAAATGGTAATAATATTCTGAAAACAGTGTGTTAACAGTTTGGTATAGAAGCCATGAGCTCCACTCTGTTTGGCAAATGTAAGCATTGGCATAGCCAGGCTGGCGCTGAGTTTGACCAAAGCCATAATAGGTTGAAAATGCATATAGTTTCACAGCTCTAGAACTGCAGCTTCCGTGGAGGAATACGGGCAGCTTCATCGTAGCACAATCAGAGCGGCCCCCAGCACCTGGTGTCTGTCACGCAGGCGGAAACAGACAGGCACTGCCTCAACAAGGTGCAAGTCAGCTGATGGGCGGGCTAAACAACTTTCATGAAGGGGTGGGGTCCTCTCACAATGCCCACATCACACGAAAACCCCTGAGATCAAAGATGCTCTGCCCCTCTTGTTTCAGCACACGGCACGCTTGCAGCATTGTCTGAGGTTGTCTTGAATGACAGGCCAACTCTTTTAAACACTTCTCTACCACCCTTATTTTTTTTACAACTTTGTAAATTCAATGCCCTTTATTCACCTGATGCATAAATAAATGTCCACAATTAAATTTAAAAAGAAGATAGTGTAAGAGCATTTTTAAACATCTTTAAGGATCAATCAGATCCAAACAGGCACAGCACCTTCATTGTGTTCTCTTTGATATGTCACCCAACTGGCCTCATCTCAACTGTACTGTAGGAACTGAGGCATCTGTGAGGTTTGCTGTGAGGACTCTGAAATACGGACCTGACTGAAGAAAGAGCAAGCGGCCAGGCGTGGCATCATGTGTGTCAGGGGTTGGTCTAGTGTTTGTATTTTGATGCTAATTACTGACCTTCATGATCTGGTTACTGCCCTAGCAGTAACCTGCCTAAGACATTATTCCTGAGTGGTTAATTTAGAAAAAGAAAAAAGAAAAAAGGCCTGAACCTGAGCAGGGCAAAAGAAGGTAGGCATGGATAAAGTTCCCAGGCTTTGAGGACAAGAGAATCACCGGAAAAGACTGGAAGAGAGGAGACAGGAGGACGCTGTGATAGCTTAGCATGGAAGGAACCATGTGGGCAAGGAGAAAGGACTCCAGGAATGGTGTGGAAACAAACACCAAGATGAAAATATAAACAAGTATTTAAAATAGCATGGATGGAAGATAGCCCAAATAGGAATGGTTAAGGCCAGTGGCATTGGATGGGAACTGGGAGGTGAATGGGGTGGTTACTGAGATAGCGTAGGTGGAATTATTTGTCCTCCACAAAAGTAAAGTCCAAGTGGATCAAAGACCTAAACATAAAACCAGACACACTAAACCTGTTAGAAGAAAAAGTGGGGAAGAGCCTTGAACTCATTGGTATAGGAGAAAACTTCCTGAACACAACACCAACAGCATAAGACTCTACGATCAACAATCAATAAATGGGACCTCATGAAACTGAAAAGCTTCTGTAAAGTGAAGGACACTGTCATCAGAACAAAACGACAGCCTACAAATTGGAAAAATATCTTCACCAACTCTTTTTTTTTTTTTTTTGACAGAGGTCTAATATCCAGAATATATAAAGAACTAAAGAAGTTAAACAGCAACAAATCTAGTAATCCAATTAAAAACTGTAATACAGGGCTAAACAGAGAATTCTCAGTAGAGGATATAGAACACCAGAAAAACACTTAAAGAAATTTTCAACATCTTTGGCATCTGAGAAATGCAAATCAAAACAACCCTGATTTCACCTTACACTCATCAGAATGGCTAAGATCAAAAGTTCAAGTGACAACACATACTGGAGAGGTTGTGGAGAAAGGGGAACCCTACTCCACTGCTGGTGGGAATGTAAACTTGTACAACCACTTTGGAAATCAATTTGGCACTTTCTCAGAAAATTAGGAATAGTGCTACCTCAAGATCCAGCTATACCACTCCTAGGCTTATATCCAACATATGCTCAAGTGTACAACAAGGACATTTGCTTAACCATGTTTATAGCAGCTTTCTTTGTAATAGCCAGAGCCTGGAAACAACCCAGATGTTTCTCACCTGAAGAATAAATACAGAAATTGTGGTACATTTACACAATGGAATACTGCTCAACAATTAAAAACAAGGATATCATGAAGTTTGCAGGCAAATAGTGGGAACTAGAAAAGATCATCCTGAGTGAGGTATCCCAGAAGCAGAAAGACACACATGGTAATACTCACTTAGAAGTGGATATTAGACATATAATATAGGATAAACATACTAAAATCTGTACACCTAAAGAAGCTAAGCAAGAAGGAAGACTCTGGATAAGATGCTCAATCCTTATTCAGAAAGGCAAATGGGATAGACATCAGAAAGGGAGAAAACAGGGAAAATAACAGGAGCCTACCACAGAGAGCCTCTGAAAGACTCTACCCAGCAGGGTATTGAAGCAGATGCTGAGACTCATAGCCAAACTTTGGACAGAGTGCTGGAAATCTTATGAAAGAAGGGGGAGATAGAAACACCTGGGAGGGACAGGAGCTCCACAAGGAGAGCAGCAGAACCAAAAAAATCTTGACCCAGGGCTCTTTTCTGAGACTGATACTCCAACCAAGGACCATTCATGGAGATAACCTAGAACCCCTGCACAGATGTAGCCCATGCCAGCTCAGTCTCTAAGTGGAATCCCTAGTAAGGGGAACAGGAGTTGTTTTTTACATGAACTCAGTGGCTGGCTCTTTTGTCACCTTCCCCTAAGGGGGTGGGCAGCCTTGCCAGGGCACAGAGGAAGAAAATGCAGCCAGTCATGGTGAGACCTTATAGGCTAGGGTCAGACAGAAGGGGAGGAGGACCTCCCCTATCAGTGGACTAGGGGAGGGGCATGGGAGGAGAAGAGGGAGGGAGAGTGAGATTGGGAGTTGATGAGGGACAGGGCTACAGCTGGGATAGAAAGTGAATAAACTGTAATAAAATAAAAATAAATTTAAAAAGAAAACAAAAAGTAAAAATAACAAATTTTAAATCCTATGCACTATTTTTGAAAATATCAATATGCATAAAAACCCCTTGATGTGAGACAAAAAGCAGCTTCTGACAAGGGTCCTGGCTCTGGTCTCCTTATTTCTTTTTCATGGCAGAAGGACAGTGGTCACGAATCCAAGTGGGTGACCTATGTGCTAGAGGTTTTCAGCCACTCCATTTATTTCCAGGCCAGACTAGGTCTCAAAGAGAAACAAAGAAATTGGGGCATATTTGTGGGTCATTTTAAAATATATAAAAGTTGTAGAAAAGGTGGAATCCTGAGCTATTATGGTAAGGCCCTATTTTTAAAAAATGGATCCTAAGAACACTCAGAAAATTAATAGCAAATTTCTTTCACACGGTATTTGCTTTACCTGGAGTCCTCTGGATAATAGGACACTAAACTTACTAGATGCCTCAATATGACAGTAATAAAACCAGAAAAAAAATAAAAAAAGAACCCAGACAACGTCCCACAGAATGCTAGCCTAGACAGTAGCCGAAATAAACAAATAAAAGAAATGTATTGGACATTTGCTCAACCATGTTTGTAGCAGCTTTATTTGTAATAGCCAGAACCTGGAAACAACCCAGATGTCCATCAACGGAGGAATGGATACAGAAATTGTGGTATTTTTACACAATGGAATACTACTCAGCAATCAAAAACGAGGAAATCATGAAATTTGCAGGCAAATGGTGGGATCTAGAAGAGAGCATTCTGAGTGAGGTATCCCAGGAGAAAGACACACATGGTATATACTCACTCATATACTCCTATAAGATATGATAAACATAATGAAATCTATACACCTAAAGAAGATAAACAAGAAAGAGGACCTGGGGTAAGATGATCAATCCTTAGTTAGAAAGACAAATTGGAGGTGCACTGGATGAAGGAGAAAACAAGAACAGAACAGGAGCGTACTG